AACTGACTTGTTACATGATTTCTCCTTCACTATTTTCTATAGTCCTCTGTTCAAATCACTACTCATTTATATTAGCTGTGTTCTTTTTTATTTATGATATGAGGGATTTTGTTATGCATTCTGAATACATGTGCTGTTAGAAACAATGTATTCAATTATCTTCTCAATGTATGAACTTTCTATCAACTATTTCTTCAGTGCACCTCAATGTCTTAAATATCTAAATTTTGATAAAGTTCTCCTCTGTCCCTCTGTCTCTCTCTCTCTGCTTCATAAGATAATCCAGAAATTCAATGATGATTTTCCTAAAACATTTATCCTTTATCCTATATCCAAGATTTTAAAGCTTCACATGGTCAGTTCTCCTAAATCTTTTCCAGTTTTGTCTCTTAAATATAGGGATCTTGTGGGTTTTTCTTTTAATCTGTAAATCTATGTTCAGTGGAAAATGACTCAGGAGTTTCTGATTACACATTTTCATTTTTCCTGAACAATAAATATGTTGTAAGGGGTGATTTTATTTACTCAAAGGTTTATCAAAATCCTTAACAAAGAATATCCACCAGCCAGCATATGCCCCTTGACATATTTAATAAAACAGTTTCTTTTACTAGTCCCAAATTAATAACCATATTTGGACCCTGCTACATTATAAAAGAGATGTGCTTTCTGTTCAATGCACAAAATGATATAAGCATCATCAAAAATGAATCAACCATGGTGATTCAGAAAATCAATACTCTTTAATTATCAGTTGAGTGACAAATGATCTCAGAGTGTCCACCTCAAGCAGTGCCTTTGGTTTTAGATTCCTGCATCATCAAATTCAATCATCATCATCCATTCAGGTTGATGTGAAATCAGAAGAGATTTATTTTATTTTTTTTTCCTTCAGTCACCGTTTCTCTTCTGTATGGCAGGAACAAACCCTGGACGTTCTCAATGTCCTTGCTGGAGTAAAAGCATATACATTCTCTACTTACTACACCAGTGCTATGTCTCATAGTGCCTAATATCTAAAGGTTAATGAAGTTTACCTCTGTTCTCCATCTCTTTGAAAATCCTTGAATAAAATGTTCATTCATTGATGCTTTCTCTAAGTGAATTCCTATGTCCAATGTCAATCGAAGTCTTACACTTTAACATGATCAGATCTAAAGTTTCTTAAGATTTCCTTCTCAAATACATAGATCCAGGGTTCACCTGGACTTAGCTCTAGTGTGTTGGGGAAAACAACTCTGAAATATATCATTGCAGACATTCATTCCCTTCCAAAAATGTGTTTATGATTAATAATATTTTCTCTTCTGCTTATCAAAAGTCTGTGTCCTTTGCATTTTCCATTATAAAGTGTAGTTTTAAATTTCCAAATTGATATCTACATTTTGCCCCATTGTGTATTAAAAGAAGCATGTCTTTTAAAAAAAACACTGAAGAGTACAAAGTTGAATTAACCATGAGAATCTGAAAAGTAAATATTCTTTATTTTCAGTTGAGTGACAAGTCTCCTCAGAGTTCCCAATCTCAACAGTTTCCTGTGGTTTTGGCTTCATGTTGAATCCTAGGCAGTTTGCCTCATCTTTTCAAGTTGAGGTTAAATTAGGATAGTTTTTAAATATTTCCTTCTTCCGTCATCTTAATCTTGTTCTGGCATTAATGTGCCAGGAAATTCCAGGTGTCTTTGCTTGAGTGTAAGCATATGCACAAACTTAGTTAAGGATTTGATTTTCTGAAAAGCTTTATGGAACATGAATCAAATTCATTCATTCCAATTTCCTTGCTTCTGTCTATACTCATAAAACAGTCATATAAGTTCATCAAGTTTTCACAATTTTTAATGTGACAACAATCAATTTTAAAAGAAGTCCTGAATAATGTCAAAGACAAGAGGGGAATATGAGCTGGTTGAGAAGG